ATTGGAGACACAGCAAGGAACTTGGAAAATAGATCTTAAAAACTTGGATTGGACTCTCACAAGAGAAAGGAATGACCTATAAGGGCCCAGCTGAGCTCCAAAAAGGAGCTGAGCTCAAATCTTAGCTGAAAAAACTTTTATCGGTGCTGGTATATATTGAGCCCCTTTGAAGAAGTAGAAAGATTGTAGAGCTGCCACTGTTTCTTGTGCATTGAGACTGACATAATCAGCATGAAATTTGTGGTTACCCGAGGCATGAAAAACAATCCCCAGGTATTTAAAAATCTTGACTTGCTCTATTAGATGATTGTTTAACCACCAGATATGTATCTCAGGGAGCTTGGCAAAAACCATAATCTTGGTTTTTGAGTAATTAATTTCTAGCCATTCTTCTTGGCAATGCTCATCCAGCATACAAAGTGCCCTCTTCAGGCCAACCTGAATCACCACAACATCATCTGCATATAGAAGAACAGAGATGTGTCTGTTTCCCAGTTTTGAAGGATGCAGAGATGGGCTACTCAGTTTGTCTACAAGGGAGTTAATGTATAAGTTAAAGAGAAGGGGAGCTAGGATACACCCTCGTCTCACTCCTCTCTTGACTGGAATTTCCTTGGTGCCATGTCCATACATATTACAGCGCACCTTCATCCGAGAGTTTTCATAAAGCTTATATATAAGAAACAGTAATCTTCTATCCATCGAGGAAGAGTTCAATTTTTCCCATAGTTTGGCTCTGGCGATGAGATCAAAAGCGCATCTTAAATCAGTAAACACTGCATAAAATGTTGAGCGAGCTCCAGAGGAATATTTTTCGATCAGATGTTGAAGAATTAGGGTGTGGTCAAAGATTGAGTGACCCTCTCTAAAGCCTGCCTGCTCTTCAGCCAAGATATTCTTCATTATAACCCAGTTCCAGAGATTGTTGTATAGATGTCTGGCATATAATTTCCTTACCACACTGAGAAGGCTGAAGGTAAATCTCTCCCTCCTTTTTTATAAATTGGAATCACCAGGGCTAGGCTGAGGTTAAAGTATTGTTCTACAAAGGACTTATGGAGACTAATAGTTTTCCCTTACAAATATTGGTGTTTGATGGGAGATTGGAATGGAGTGATCTCCCCACAACTGGATAGAACTTCTGAGAAAAAGATACTAAAATAACTCAAGGCAAATTACCATATCTTTTCTTTGATTTGATGGACAATTTAGGGCTTGTGGACATATGAAGACAGAAAAATGGCAATTCAAGAGAGTACACCTACTTTTTTGGAAGACATAGATCCTCTTCAAGAATAGATATGATATGGATTTTGAAGAATTTGGCTACTAAGGTTTCTAAAGTATTACCAAAGATATTTTCGGATCATAATCCTTTTATAAATTGGTTTATAAAAGGAAATCCAGTTTTTTTAGCTGGAGATTAAATGAAATGTTGTTACAGAAAGAAGCAATAATGGAGGATTGTAAAAAGAAATTAAAATAATTTTTTGAAAATAATTTAAACAAGGATTTAAATTTAAACCATTTAAAAATGGTTTGGGATGCAACTAAAACTTTCGTCAGACATTACTGAATACACATTATGCCAAAAAATACCTTTGTGGCTCTCAGCACAAGTAGCATTTTATAGATGAAAAATAATAGGAAAACACAAATGGCTGACCTATCATGAGATACCAGAATTTTGTCAAGGGGAATACAAAATAAAATCAAGAGAAGAACTGATGGCAGAGGAACATAGTTGCCAATGTTTTTCTTATTTACAGTTGTCAGAAAGATTTAAAGTAGAAAAAAATAATTGATGGTTTTGAACATTGTAAGACTGAGTTTGAAATGGAATTATGTACAAATGATGAACATGTAATTGCTAAAATGTATAAACTTTTATT